GTTTAGAGACACTAGCAATAGGCAGAAGACAGGAGGCGGAGCTGGAGGTGGCAGAGTTAAAGATGCTAAGATTCTCTTTGGGAGTGACAAGGATTGACAGGATCAGGAATGAGGTCATTAGAGGGACAAAACAGACAGGAAGGTTTGGAGAAAAAGCCAGAGAAGCCAGATTGAGAGGGTTTGGACATGTGCGGAGGAGGGACAGCGGATACATTGGTAGAAGAATGCTAGAGATGGAGCTACCAGGTAGAAGACAAAGAGTAGATTTATGGATGCAGTGAGGAAGGACATGTAGATACTTGGAGTCAAAGTAGAAGATGCAGAGAACAGGGAGAGACGGAAAACAATGATTAGTTGTGGCAACCCCTGAAAAAAGAGACAAAGCCGAAAGGAAAAGAAGAAGAAGAAGCTTTAGAATACACCTGGGCAATATATACTAAGAATGTGGTCAAAAGTTTTAAGAAGCTAAAAAGTAGCTAAAAAGCTAACAAAACTAACCTTACAATGACAACAATTGTTATCCCCGAAACTAGACCAAAGGATACCTAAACCAAAACATAACAGAAAAATAGCCAAGGAAAAGCAGCATAAAATTTAGCCCAAAACACTACAATTATGCTACAAAATGAAAATAAAAATAGATGAAAGTTTTACAACAATTCAAACATTATTCATTCGGTAAGTTAGACCCCAAAAATTAAAAGATACATGACCTAACATTTTCCTTCCAACATTTTCCTTGTGGAATGTTTGAAATGTGTATCATGTTCAGACCTAGAGACGTATGATGGAATCTCCAAGGACAACTAGCAGCTGTACCAACAGGGTTTCTCACCTGTTTGGCAATAGCTTTACTGTCCAGTTTGTTGTAGACCTTTCGGATCTTAGCTACAGTCAGTGTGGATGCAGAGACAGCGTACAGACTAAAAGACACCTTCTCCTCAGCAACCAATGAAACTGGAGATGCTGGAACTGCTTCTGCCTTTGAATCTTTACCTGAAACAATAAAGAGTGAGGAAGAGCTGCCACAGAAGAAAGAAAAGACAGATTGATGCCAAAAGCAGTGATGCCATCACTCACAGGGCAAGTACACTGCCTGGAAACTGCCCACATAGTTTGGTCCTAATTCGTAGATGGCTGCTACGCTGGAGGCGGGTAGAACTTCCTCCAGGAAATGGGTGGGACCCAGACGCCAGACCAAACTAGAGATTTGTCTCTGGGCTGGTGGAGTTCCCACATAGCTATAAACAGTACTGACCATTGAAGGGTTAGTAGAACCAGAACCCCCGGGTGAACTATGGATGTAGTGTAACTAGAGGTGGGGGGGTAGAGAGTGAGTAAGAGAGAGTGAGAGAAGGAGAGAGTGAGAGAAGGAGAGAGCGAGAGAGAGAGAGCAAAGAGATAAAAGATAAATTAGTATTTAGTGAAAAAGTTAATGTGAGCTGGAACATTTAATTCTTGAGTCTGTTACATTATCATAAGTTTTCTTTTGTACCTTGACGGTGTTGACCAATTGACCATCAATGTACAGTGAGACCATGCTGTTCTTCAACATGCCTTTGCTCATCACCAACAGCAAGTGATGCCACTGACACTCGGAGATGAGCTCACCGCAGCGGAAACGAGCGCAGCATGGAAGAAGCTCATAAAAGGCAGACTCCTCACTTGACTCATCCGCTGGAACCACAAAAATAAAATACAATAGATTAGCCGGGTGTTGAGTAAAAAAACATGACCTCTGCCGATATCTTTCTAAAATTCTGATACATTTGCAGAATGTGTGGCAGAGTTGTGTCAATTTAAAAAGATGTGGTATCAGCAGAGACTCACAATAGGTCTGCAGAAGCGCCTCTTTCGTGGAGACACTCAAGGTCCGGTCTTTACAGGAAAGAACAACAGACAGGCAGACATAGTGCTGCTCTGAGGAAGATGCTCGACGGACCACGGTGAGGAGACGCAGTGGATGAGCATGGGGCACGGAGCTGAAACGCTCAACACAGAACCAAGTGGAGTAGCTGAGTCCAGATGGTGGAGGAAACAAGCGCTCCCCTGCAGCAGAAGAAGAAAGAGTTTGAAAGGTGTGTCCAGTGTGCAGATCTGCGCACGTGAGCACAGAAATCTGTGACCATGGGGAGTACCCTAACTCACCTGATCCCATCCCACTGAGAACAGCTCCTTCAGTGATAGCAGAGGTGGTGGTGGAACTGGAGGGGTTGTTGTGTGGAGGAGCCATGCTGGGCAGGAACAGACAACTAGGGGCCAAAATTCATATTGTGTTAAAAAAAACAACACAGCACACACACAGTTTTAGAGGTATGTTATATTAACTGCTATAGTCTGAAGAAAATCCTGCTGTCTCAACCACCTTATTATTTTAAAGTGTTTAAAACAAATTTTTACCTTACCAAACCCATTTTTTTGTGGCTAACCTTGCATTCATAGTGGTCACATTTCTGAAAATCACTGTGATGAAATTTTGTTTTTATTTATTTAAAGGTCGTGATACAACTGGATGAAGATTTTTTAATTGTGTCTTTCAGCCTTTTTCCTCACAGCAGCAGCATCATTAATTTTTCAGCTAGACAGATGGGAGGTATCTGCCAGTATGTGGCTCTAAAAGTAGGAAGGAAATTTAACTACTTGTCATTGTGAGACAGCACACCACTGCACACAACAAAATGTGACCTCTGCTTTTAACCCATCACCAAAGTGAACAGTGGGCATCTTTAAGCACCCGGGGAGCATTGTGTGGGGACGGTGCCATGCTCAGAGCACCTCAGTGGCAACTTGGGACCCACATCCACTTCCTTAACCATTAAGCCACCACTGCTTCCTTAACCACTAAACCACCACTGCCCCTAGGGCACACACTGCAGTGTTGCAGCAGAAACTGTTATATTCACATGCTATGCCTCAGACTGTAGTTATGAACAAATAGGTGGAGCTGAACTGATCACCATACTGATAAGTCACGTGGTTCCAGTAGCTTCCAGTTTTGAGATGGATTCACTCCAATGTGACTTTGCTTTACTGTCTTTCTCACACCGATTTCAAATTAGTCTGCATTTCTAAACCTACTCCAAAGAGTCATAATTTATAATGTTTTCATTTTAGAATTGTGCTTTTACAGCTTCTGAACACATTAACAGAATATTTTAAGAACTGACCCAAAACCTTCCAGCGAGGTGTCAAACTCAATAAAGGCAGGTGTGACCGCTGAGCCATGCAGGCGGATGTGATTGGGTGTCGTCATGGACACTAGACACTTGACCCTGGTCAACGGCACGGTGCTGCCCTCTGCTGAGCGAACAATGCTGCGGCTTATCCTGTACTGAGCATTCTCCTCTGCTGGCGTAGCAAATACGCTGTTGGCACCTAAGCCCTCCGTGGACATGGTCATGCTGCCTGTGACATAACACAAAAACAGAGAGTCTATCACTGCAATGTCAGCAACACATTATAATTAATCATGATTTCACTGTTTTTTATATAATAAAATCAGCAACGAATCAGTTTTATCAATTACAACAACAATACATTAAATTCTTAGAGAATTTATAGGAAGGGTTAAGAGTTCCTCAAATATATAGGAAACAGCCGAAAGAGAGCTAGAATTTAGGAAAATATGGTAAATCAGAGAACTTTTCATGTTTAGGTGTGGCCAACCTCTAATACTTGAAAATGTAAATCTGACAGAACACATAAGTAGCTAAAAGCTAGAAAAGAATGAGTTGGTCACAAAGCTAACAAATTGCCAGGTATTTTTAAAATTGACAATGGATATCAAAATAAGTCTATGAAGATTCTCAGTCATCCAGGTCATGGTCAAGGTTGAAAAGTTCTGTTAGGCAACTGGACGTGAATTTTCTAAAAGAAGACGTTTCACCTCTCATCCAAGAGGCTTCTTCAGTTCTAACTGGTGGTGGTAGGGAGTACAGCAAATATATACTCTAGGTGTGAAAGAATAAAGCTACTTCAGGTCCACCCTGTTGGGGGGGGCCTTGGGGTCAACTGTGAAAGGGCAAACAGTCGTTAAGAGTCTGATGGGTCATTGGGGTTCTCATCAGAACGGTTTCGGTCACCTGCCTCTTTGTTATGTGAAACTGAGGTGAATCTTTTGGGTATTTTTCCTAAAAGTGCTTTGTATGTGGGTGATAGGTTGTGTCTGAGTCCACCTCCTCTGTTGAGTGATGGTTTTTCCAGGTTGACAAAAATGGCTTCTTTTACCCCTCTCTCAAACCATCTGTCTTCCCTGGCCAAAATGTGCACATTTTTGTCCTCAAAGGAGTGTGTTTTATCCTTGAGGTGTACGTAAACAGCTGAGTCCTGTCCTGAGGAGTTGGTCAAAATAAACATAAAAACTCATAATACTTGTCTATAAGAGAGTTGAAACATTTAGGAATTGTGCTTTAATTGTCCAAACAGATTGTTAAACATATATCAATGTCTTTACTTCTCATCTCGCTGTCATAGCTCACTGAACTGGGTTTGTGAACTCTGTACTGTTTCAGCAGCTTCTTATCCCAGGCTCCACAATTAAGAGGGTTTCCCAGACGCACAAACTCCCTAAGGATGGACAGGATAAAATGTTACTGAGAGGAGGAAAACATCCATAAAGGCACAAATGTGAGAATTGTAAAATGTCAAAATCACTTGGAAACAGTAAATATGTATGAAATGTGTGTGAATCATAAGAGACCTATAAATATATATTAAAGATTAACAACATTACATTGTACTACTCTTATATTTATATTAGGGCTGGGCAAGTTAACACGTTATTTTCGCATTAACTCAATAATCTATTAACGCCGACATTTATTTTATCGCGCATTAACGCAGGTTGATCACATGCTTTTATTTTGTAAAACTCTGTTGCTTGCTGCTGCGGAACCGGAAATTTAAAAAATTGGCGGAAAAACATGCGAAAAAGCTAGAACAGTAGTGATGGGAAGACCGACTCTTTTTATTGATTCGAATCTTTGACTCTCTAACAGTAAAATGAACGAGTCGTGAACGAATCTTGAACTAATCATTTCATTCGTTTTACAGCAGGCGGCGCTTTAGCCCTATTGTGGGCGTTGTAAAGAAGGCTGCGGTTCTCCGACACTAAATACTGAAGGCAACATGGTTTGCTTCCGCTGACAAAGTCTACAAAGTACACAAAATTCCATAAGCAATTAAAACCATGCGAAAAGCTAAGAAATAAAAACACATCACAATGTGAAGATGAATGAGAGCAAAAGACCCGAGCTCTTTCACGTGACAAATGAAACGAATCTGCGAGAATGAAGCGAAAGATTAGTTCACAGAGAATGATTCGTTCACAGCGAAAGATTAGTTCACGGCGAAAGATTAGTTCACAGTGAAAGATTAGTTCGTAGTGAAATATTAGGTCACAGTCATAGATTAGTTTGCAGAGAGTACTTCGTTCATAGTGAAAGATTAGTTCACAGTGAAAGATTAGTTCGTAGTGAAAGATTACTTCACAGCCATATATTAGTTTGCAGAGAGTAATTCGTTCGTAGTGAAAGATTAGTTCGCAGAGAGTGATTTGTGAGTTCAATATGAACAAATATTTCATATGACTTGGGAGTCACGAATCTTTCATGTGACTCGGGAGTCATGAGGCATATGAAAGATTCGTTCATTTTGAACGAATCACTCGCGAACGACACATCACTACAGAACATGGAGAGGGGTAAAGCTGCAGAACTTTTACCTGGCCATTTTCATTTTAAAGTTCTTCCAGGCGGCAGATTTGACAGAAACAAGGTTATTTGTAACCACTGCCAAGTTGAATTTTCTTTTCACCGGAGTACTTCCAGTCTAAAATATCACATAAATGCAAAACACACTGTTGATATCAGCAAACCATTCAACGCATCAGACAGTGGAGGGAGGCTTCAACAGACTACGCCAAATGCAGCGTGTGAGAGAAGTACAGCCAAACAAAAGCAAGAGAAGTGGATAGCTACAGACTGTAGGCCGATTAGTGTTGTGGAAGACGTCAGCCTAAGAAACATTGTGAGAATCGCAACAAATGACTGCAGGTATGAGATGCCATCGAGACGCACAATCACACGAAGAATACACGAGTTGTATAAAAAGAAGAGGACTGAAAAAGCGATTTTACAACATGCATCTGCTGTTGCTCTCACTGGGGACTACTGGACATCACATCGGTAACCATAATTACCTTGGCGTTATAGCGCATTATGTTGATGAGAAGTGGGTGCTGCATTCACATGCTTTGTCTGTAATGAAAACAGACACCACACGATTGCTGCTGCGAGACAACTGCCTTTTGATTTTTCATAAAGAACAGGATAACATTAATGCCCTGGTAGTGGCAATACGTTTTATTTATTTATATATTTTTTTTTACATTTTTTAAGTTTAGATTTACACTGTGTGTTACTGACAAGTGCTGATGTTAAAAGTGTTTGCACAACAAATGTTACTGTACTTTAATTAATATGGCAGAAGAATATTTAAATAAAAGTGCACTTAATACTACTTTTGAATTCATTATTGGATTTTGTGTATACAATGCGATTAATCATGATTAATCAGGGAAATCGTGCAATTAATCGCGATTAAAAATTTAAATCGTTGCCCAGCCCTAATTTATATGTAAAACCTTTTGATACTGTTTCAACTTTACCTCGATGATTAAACCCTTTTTTACTGAAAATAATTATAGTAATTTGATCAATGTTTTGACCTAATGGTAAACCTTTTTTCTTTTACTATTTCTTTTTTTCCCCAAAATCAACCACTTTACAATCAAACCCAGGAAAGGTAGACTGTGCGTGTGTTTTATTGATCTTCTTGAAAGTGGTCCTCATCACTGTTTCTCTTCCTGACTGAAATGCTTCCTGTGAGTCTATTAGAGTTAGCTGGCATACCTAAGAACCATGGGCTGCAGTGCTTGTGAGGCCAGCCTCTCAAACATCCTCTGTAGCGGTGGATGCAGTGGATGCTCCTCATCACATAGAGCGTGGCTGCAGTGCTGCAGCAGCCTCTGGTGCAGACCAGCATCACACAGAAGCTGCTGGTTTCTCTCACTGTTTACCAGCAGCTGCAGAATGTTGGCCACAGCTAGCTGTAGGTCCAGAGCATGCTGAGAAATGCACAGAGAGGGTGGAGTTTATAATTCACTGAAACAACAAATTATACTACATAGATGAGTCCCCTGACCTAATTCCCTCACCTCAGGTTGGCTGTCGGAGCAGACGGACGGCAGCAGATCCAGCATGGCCAGAACTGCCCCAGGGTGGATGACCACTAGCTCTGATAAAGAGGAGGAACCAGCAGTGTGGATTGGGTTGGACAGGTGGAGTTTTAGGTCAGTCAGAGCTTTGACAGGGGCAGGTGGGCCAGATGTCCCATAGTATCCATGTCTAAGAAAACCAGAAGAGGTCAGCTGGCCTACTTCAATCCACAGAAGTCACTATTTAGAGTCTGTGTTTCATTTTCATTTTTTTAAACTACTTGTCATTGTGACACAGCACACCACTGCACACAATGAAATGTGACTTCTGCTTTTAACCCATCACCAAAGTGAACAGTGGGCATCTTTAAGCACCCGGGGAGCATTGTGTTTGGACGGTGCCATGCTCAGAGCACCTCAGTGGTAACTTTGCAGCTGGTGGACTCAATCCTGAAGCTTTTCGGACCCAAGTCCGCTTCCTTAAACACTAAGCCACCACTGCTGCAGTGAAAAGAGACTGTTACCTGGTTTAACCCAGCCCCTGTCATTAAGTTTCAATGTAGTATTCTTTAACTTTACTGTTCAAAATCAATTTTTCAGATTGTATTAATTGACATAAATTGACCACAGGAGGCAGCAGTAGACCAGCAGCATATTCTTCACAGTGAGCTAAAGTCACAAATTGTCTCTACAGACGATTTGTGGAAGAGAAAGTGATTAATAAACATCTGTTTCCTGATTGGAAGTCTGCCTAACAATAAAATGAAAATTCCAAAATGTATTTTGGACTCCTGCTGACCTAGATGTTTCATTTTTTGTGAAGATCATGTGTCTGGCTTTAGGGGGTGACGCAGTCAGGTCACAGGAAAGGGAAGCAGTAGGAAAAGGAAAGGAAGGATAAGGACAGAGGAGATAGAACGCTTTAGCTACCTCTTCCTGGTGGGGGCTGGTGTGCCCCACGGTGAAGGCAGCGAGGTCTCATGAGTCAGACAGGGAGGGATCTGCTCTGCACGACTGTACATGCACACGTGTACATACACACAGAGCCAGACAGGTAGAGCAGTCGGACAGTGTCAAGTGTTAAAGGAATAGGAAAGAAGGAAAAAGAGACAATAAGAAGTTGTTAATCTAGAGACAGAAACAGGGTCGGAGGAACATGAACAATTTAAGACACAGCATGAATATTTACCAGGGAAAATATTAACCAGGGCAAATGCATGACTATTCTAAGCGATTTTTACTGGTTGTGCCCAGCCAACACCCCAACATCCCAGTGAACATTATAGAAACTGTTGCAAATATTTTTTGACTTTCTGCATCAATCAGTGAATTTGGTCATTTGAGTATTCTTAGACATAGTTACATGTTTACAGATGTCTAAAAGTTGTGTTACTGGACAATTAGCTTAATATATTGTGTTGATAATATATTCTAAAAACCTTTGTGACCTTTTGTAGCCTTGGTAGATTTTAAGTATGTTTTACAATAATGAATTATGAAAGTTTCTTTTTGGCTAAACTGAGTACATTTATTGTTGTTGGTAACAAAACTACCATTTTTTTATTACAAAGTATTATGTTGGAGAATATCTTGGGTAGTTAATATGTAACAAATATTCAACACATTTTATGTGGTTTAATCAAAGATAACAGGGTTTTTTCATATGTTCTTTTGGAGCTTAAGACCAATTCTTAAACTTCTTCAACTGAGCTGAATTTTATTGCAGCAATAGACCTAAGAAGGAAAGGAAAGTGAACTACTTTGTGACACAGCACACCACTGCACACAACGCAATGTGACCTCTGCTTTTAACCCATCACCAAAGTGAACAGTGGGCAGCTTTAAGCACCGGGGGAGCAGTGTGTGGGGACAGTGCCTTGCTCTGAGCACCTCAGTGGTAACTTGGCAGCTGGTGGACTCAAACCTGAAGCCTTTCGAACCCAAGTCCGCTTCCTTTACCACTAAGTCACCACTAGCTGTTCTTTGCTTATACCTCAACAACTACCATCAGAGCAGACTTATCTGCGGAAAGGTCACTACAGGCCAGGGGTGTGTGTGAGTCTCACATGACTAAGAAGTTGCTGAGTTCACAGACAAACGTGAAAAAGTTCTGTTCACTACAGCACTGACTGAGCAAACACGTGTGAAGAGGTGAATCATAGTTTTGGATGTTGAACTAAATCAGTCTAAATCAGTTTCATCATCTTTTGTAACACTGTCAAATACAATGTTTTTTTGTTGTAGGAAAGTAAAAACAAAAAAATCCTGTAATCATGTAAATTCACCTAGATTCTGGTCTTAGTTCTTCAGACTGACCTGTCAAAGGAGTCAGTGGCCATTTTGTACATGTAGATAAAAAGTTTGCTGCAGTGTTTGAGTGTGGGACAGACACTGTCTCCTGCACAACCACTGGGGGCAGCGTCATCCTCAAGCAACCTCTGGAAGGGCTGTGCATTTGATGGAAAGACAGAGGTAGGAGCCAGTTTCTTGGTATCAGAGAAACAACCGAGAAGCCTAGAGATGATCAGGGACAAAGGTAAGAGGAGATTATATTAAACGTGGCATGAAGTTAAAAAAAATAGTAAACAATCATGTCATAGTCGATCTCTTACCTGACAGCATCGGCCAGCTTCTCAAACTGTATCTCTGTGCGGAAGAAGTGGGAGTTTGCGGGTTCATAACGCATGGCAGCAGTGAGCATGCAGAAGACGGTGAGCAGAAGCTCAAAGACCTGGTTCTGGTTCACCTTCTCCCAGCCCTGTCGGGGAGGCTGACACAGAGAGCGCTCCATCGCCACCAACAAGGAGGTGACATAAACAAAACCGCCAACTTTACGAAAGACTGTCCGTGTGCGGTGACTCTCACGCAACACTGCCAGCAGAGCCTGCAGAGATGAGGAAGAGGAAAATCGTTTTGATTGTTTTTGATGGCCTTCACTTATGAATGTTTTAACCAGCAGGAGGCAGTAATTCAGTCATGCTACCCTCAGGATGTCAGTCTTCAGCTGCAGCTCAGTGGGTGGTGCTGAGTGCATTAGACCTAGCAGCGTCCCCATGTCATCATCTCCGCTGGGGGACAGAATGAGCTGCTGGATGATAAGGAGAGCATGGTCCCGACACTGACGATACCTCACAATGTTGTGAACACAGCGAGCGCCACCAAACTCTCTAAACAAAGCTGTGAAAAGAGTAGAGGGACAGGAGGAGAAAAGAAGGTAAAATGGAAAAAAGATTACGGAAGAAGAGAAAGAGTTGACGCATATCTTTACTTAAAATTAGACCAAAATATCTAAAAGATGTCAAAATAACAACGTCTTGGAAAGGCTCAGTGACTAAGCAACAAAACAAAATAAAGATTTAAAATTTGCCATGAAGCAGAAACTAAGCAAACTGGTATGCAGAAAAATAGCCAGAAAATAACTAAAAATGTAACTTGTTGACCACTTGCGCACTCCAGTCAAGTTAATCAATGTTTAACCGTGCAGCCTGTTATACATCTAATTAATTGTCCATGGGAATTTAATGTTATAATGTTTATGATTTGCTGTAATTGAGACCAAGTTTGATCTTTTCAATTTAATCAAAAGTTATAATCATGAATTCAGTGTGTAAAGTTCTCACCATGGAGTTACACACACTTCATGGGCTCATTGAAATACTGTACATTTTTCAACGAACCTGCATTACTGCTGCTGGTGTTGCTGCCCTGCAGTAACACCGTCAATGTCTCCATCACCAGCCAGGCTAACTGCTTCTGTTCCTCAGCCACATAGTTATTTTTACATTCCACTGAAAACAGGGACAACCACAGAGACAGGGAGCAGAACCAAGGTAAGATCTCAACAAGGAGTCAAAATGCCTGAAGAGATGCAGAAACTGAATGATGGATCATCCCCACCTTGCTCATGAGCATGTAACTGCATTGTTGTCAGTGTGGACTGCGTAGCTGGCTCTTTCAGCATGGCAGCGTACTTGTGCAGTAGGTTGACCAGCACCTCCAGCAGGCCCACTTCGCGCAGGACATCATTGAAGACAGTATCATGTCTGGCTAACTTCAGCAGCGCGCGCACGGCAGTGACGCTGCATGCATGCGACGTGCTAGCCTTTAGCAATACACTCACACTGAACAACTCCTTACATGGAACATAGTTAAGGCTGAATACCACATACTCCAGCAACTCAAAGTACTTGGCCTGGGCCTCAGGTAGTTTTGCCACACGCTCAGCAAACTGTGAGAGTGTGTGCTGAGACTCCAAAATAAAATAATTAGCTGGCACGGCAGCATAGATGTTTCCAATGGCGTCCAGCAGCATACAGGCCAGGTGGCTGGTTTTGGCACGAAGGAAGGCATTCTGAAGGACGGCAAAGGCCTGGATGTTCCTCACTGTGTGTTCTAAAGAAAAAAAAAGAATGATCTGTAGCTGCAGTGAATTACTTTTATTACCGTATTTTTCGGACCATAAGGGGCACCGGGTTATAAGGCGCATTAGGCGAAACAAAACAGTCAGCAAAACAATTAAGCAGAATAATCAAGCATGTCCAGATCCCTCTAGCCAATATCCGAGTCAGTCTCGTTGCTGTTAATTAGTTGCTCAGTGAAGATTATGGCCTTCGTGAAACATTTGAGACTGATACCTTAGCCCAGGCATCCACGTCATCCAATGCTCCCACGCAGCTCGCAATTTAATTTGAACGGCTTGTTAACACCAATATTTAGCGGTTGGAATTCTTTGATTAATCCATCCAGAATGATGGCAAGCCCCGAATTAGTTTGCTTCACCTGGGCTTTGACAATATTGGTGAGATGGGCGCGCATGGAGTCGCAGATCAATAGGGATGGAGATTTGTGGAAAAGGGTAGTGACCTATGTTGGACACTGGAGGACGCTGTTGTTGTTGTTCGCCCCTCCAGAGTCAGGTTGTTCTCACTATTTTTGTTCTGGATGGCCATCATATTGTTGTTTTGACGCTGTTCCGTGCGGAAGTTGTTTTGCAGAGAGAGTGTGTGTTTTGCCTGCATCGATAAAAAAGGAGAAATAAAAAGAGTTCTCAACCACGAAAAAAATCGACAGCCATGCATCTGACTCGTCCTGCATCGCACCATACATCAACAATACAAAAACACAACTCAGAGTCTCCGGGTGTTGGGAGGCACGACGTGACGTTGCACGGATTTGGGTTACACAACCTACTGTAACAATTGTTGTTAAGCATCTTCTAATTGTGATAACAGAGTTAAAGTTTAATTGTTGGCTCCCAGTGTGCTTCAGTTGTGTGCCATCATGAGTGACGCGCTGTGGTTTGGCTTTATAAAATCAGTTCGAGGTCAGTAAGCCCAACCAGAATTAATACATAAGGCGCACTGGGTTATAAGGCGCACTGTCGATTTTTGAGAACATTAAAGGATTTTAAGTGTGCCTTATAGTCCGGAAAATACGGTACATATTTATTACATATATTTCTTAATACATTTTATGACTTAGCAAAGTGATCTTACCTTTCCCAGAAGGCTGTGGAAGAACAAACCCAGGCAGCAGAAAGGGGGCACCAGTGGTCAGACCTGCAGGTTTCAACACAGTTACACCATACGTGGTCAGACATGTGACCAAGTTTATCAGGTCTTTGAGTGCATCCTTGGATTCGTCCTCTTTGGCCTGTTCCAGTCTGACAGGGATAAAAGAGTGTGTTTACTGACCATAAGAAACACGGCAACTCAGGCAAATTGGACAGAGAAGTAACAACATCATGACTCATACCTGAGCATTAGATCACAAAGGAAGGCATAACCCTGACACATCCTAAAGTCGTCCAGCAGTGTCTGTGACATGTCGCTTGAGTCTTTGAGGAAGCAGGAGAGGCCAGCAAACATCTCCACAATCTCCAGCGGTGACAAGTCATCTGACTGCTGCATGTTTTGGATGCATGTGGCTAAACATTCTTTCTCTGTAATTAATAATAAATGGAAGAAACAATAAGTATTTTTTAATTAAAAATCTGGACAATAACATCCAATTTTAAAGTAAACGATCATCAGCTTGGAAAATTATATACCATGGATGTATTTGACTACGTTAACACTGAGCCCATGGCAGGAAATGGTTGTCAGCACCTCGCCCGCACTCCTTCTCCAGGGCAAGTTGTGGGGTGGACACCAAGAAGTGATGGCACTGAAGAGCAGCTGAAGGTCGTCTTTCTGAGCCAGCTCCTCAGCTGGAGAAACGAAGTTGCAGAGCTTTACGAGGATCTGCACCATACAAGATGGAGAAACAGGAACATTATCTTTTGTATGTGTAAGATAATAGGGTGAGAAATTAACAATCATGTAATATTTCTTGATTGTATTTATCTTAGCATAAATGCTGGTTAATGTTATTGCATTTTAATTTAACTACTTCAGATAATTATCTTTTTTTTTCTTATGGATACTGTACTTTTGAATAACTACAGTGCATCCGGAAAGTATTCACAGCACTTCACTTTTTGATCATTTTGTTATGTTACAGCCTTATTCCAAAATGGATTAAATTATTTTTTTTCCTCAAAATTCTACACACAACGCCCCAATAATGACAATGATAAAAAAGTTTTTTTGAAATTGTTGCAAATTTATTAAAAATAAAAAAATCTGAGAAATCACATGTACATAAGTATTCACAGCCTTTGCCGTGAAGCTCAAAATTGAGCTCAGGTGTATTCTGTTTCCACTGATCATCTTGAGATGTTTCAGCAGCTTAATTGGAGTCCACCTGTGGTAAATTCAGTTGATTGGACATGATTTGGAAAGGCACACACCTGTCTATAGAAGGTCCCAGGGTTGACAGTGCATGTCAAAGCTCAAACCAAGCATAAAAACAAAGGAATTGTATGTTGACCTCCAAGACAGGATTGTCTCGAGGCACGAGGCTGGGAAAGGTTACAGAAAAAAATTCTGCTGCTTTGAAGGTTCCAAGGAGCACAGTGACCTCCATCGTCCGTAAGTGGCAGAAGTGTGGAACCACCAGGACTCTTCCTCGAGCTGGCTGGCCATTTAAACTGAGTGATCGGGGGAGAAGGGCCTTAGTCAGGGAGGTGACCAATAACCCGATGGTCACACTGTCAGAGCTCCAGCGTTCCTCTGTGGAGAGAGGAGAACCTTCCAGAAGGACAACCATCTCTGTAGCAATCCACCAATCAGGCCTGTATGGTAGAGTGGCCAGACGGAAGCCCAAAAGCACATGGCAGCCCACCTGGAGCTTGCCAAAAGGCACGTGGACTCTCAGACCATCAGAAACAAAATTCTCTGGTCTGATGAGACAAAAATTTAACTCTTTGGAGTGAATGACAGGCACATTTGGAGAAAACCAGGCACTGCTCATCACCAGGCCAATACCATCCCTACAGTGAAGCATGGTGGTGGCAGCATCATGCTGTGGGGATGTTTTTCAGCAGCAGGAACTGGAAAACTAGTCAGGATAGCAGGAGAGATGAATGCAGCAATGTACAGAGACATCCTGGATGAAAACCTGCTCCAGAGCGCTCTTGACCTCAGACTGGGGCGACAGTTCATCTTTCAGCAGATGGCCCTAAGCACACAGCCAGGATATCGAGTGGCTTCAGAACAACCCGGTGAATGTCCCTGAGTGGCCCAGCCAGAGCCCAGACCTGAATCCACTTGAACATCTCTGGAGAGATCTGAAAATGGCTGTGCACCGATGCTTCTCATCCAACCTAATGGAGCTTGAGAGGTACTGCAAAGAGGAATAGGCGAAACTGCCCAAAGATAGGTGTGCCAAGCTTGTAGCATCATATTCAAAACGAATTGAGGCTCTAATTGCTGCCAAAGGTGCAGCAACAAAGTATTGAGCAAAGGTCATTGTGGGGTGCTGTGTGTAGAATTTTGAGGAAAAAATGAATTTAATCCATTTTGGAATAAGGCTGTAACATAATGTGGAAAAAGTGAAGGACTGTGAACACTTTCCAGATGCACTGTATATGTCTATTTTACTACATATCTGGATAATACTCAGCTATTTACGGTGACTTTAGGCTAGATTTAGCTATGGTTGAGGCCTTTCTCTGTACCTGAACAAAGACTTTTTGTAGCAGTCCCCTACGGTCAGCCAACAGTAGCTCTGGCTGAGTTTGGGCCTGGACTGTCTTCTCCTGTAGGAGGGGCAGCGGTGGTTGGGGCTGAGGAGGGGGGCCCAGTGGGGCCTCGGCCATGTGAGGCAGGTCAAAGAATAGATAGAGGCATTTGACCAGAGTGGAGGGGACAGACATGGTTGTCATGCAGTCCACTGTTTTCTAAAGAAGAGAACATTCTCAGTCAGACGGGGATTGAATCTAAACAGTAAACAAATAGTCTTTAAATCAGGGGTCACCAACGTGGTGCCCGGGGGCACCTGGTAGCCCCTGTGGATTACTAAGGTGCCCACAGGGTATGTTCTAAAAATATAACTAGTCAAAAAGAGGGCCAAAACTTGTACTGTTACTGTGCTTTTTGAATCAGTTACACTTGAAGAACACTTGTCCTGAAGAACATATAGGACTGCTCCATAATGTGTTTCTGTGAAACATGGCTAGGGGAGAGGACACCCGACGAGACAGTAACGCCTGCCGGCTACACGATCTTCAGAGAGGACCGTAGCGCGACGAATAAACCAGTTTACAACAAAAGGCTAAAGTAAATGCCAATCACAATAAAAACCATTAACACCTGGACTGACGACACACAAGCTAGTCTGCAGGGCTGCTTAGAAGCCACAGACTGGAGCACTTTCAAAGAGGCCACTAACGACATCCATGAATACACAGAAACTGTCAGCGACTACATCAGCTGGTGCACATCCATCTGTGCACCCCCCAAAACAGTACGTAAGTTCCCCAACCAAAAACCCTGGTTTAACACAGATGTAAAGCAGAAACTAAGGAAGAGACGGGAGGCTGTCAAGTCAGGAGACCACGTGGAGTACAAGAGAGCCCGATACGAACTGCAAAAGTCTATCAAAGCAGCAAAGAGGGCTCACTCCCAAAAACATGAATGCTATCTCGAACACAACACACGCAGCATGTGGCATGGAATCAAGTCCGTCACAAACTACAGAAAGACCACAACAATCACAGAC